TGCATCACTATGCCCACTCAGCCTGAACGGGCTCTGTCATACCCCGCAGCCTCGCAGGGCGGGTCCGTGAGCTCTTGTTCCCCCTCAGCAGGGTGAGGAAACGGTTTCCAGGTGGGAAGGCTGCAGCGCTGAGAGGCCATGCTGAGCAAGTGAGCGATCAGGCTGGTCTAATCTAGGGGACTTCAGGGGCCATGGCCTCCCCTCGGTGTATTCTGGCCCAGGGGTCCCACAGGAGGTGAGACTCAGGTAAACGCCAGGTCCTGCATGGGCAGTGGGGGATGCCAGTCATTCCCCCTGCCTGCAAAGGATTTCTCAAGTCCTAGGATATCTAGGTTTGGGGTTCTTATGAGTGAGTGTAGGTGAATCTCACAGGTGAGACCCGTTAGGGCACCAAACTAGGGACAGGGCCCGGAACATTTGGGTGACAGATGGGGGTGATGAAGATGGAGGAGTTGAAAGGAGCGGGTCAGCGTTGGTACTTTTTTTTAATCTCAGGAAAGGGAGAGATGGGGACACTCCCCCCCCCCGCCCCCGCCCCATGAGAGGGAAGAAGTACTCTGAGGGGCCAAGGCCCAAGCCAGATTGAGAGTGTCTGCCGGCCTCACCTCAGCCTGCTGGAAGCTCCTGGCGGCCACAGGCCTGGCTCTGCTGCTGGCCAGCTCCTCAGTGCCTGGTGCTGCAACTGGCCCCCTTGGCCCTGTTTCCCAAGAACCCACTGACCTCCCTCATTGACCTTGGCGATACCCAGCTGCCCGGCCTGGGTTGGCCTTCCCCCACCCCCACCCCTGTGACTGAGGGGCCTCCATCCCACCCCTTTCTACTTCGTTCTCTTGGTCTTTAGCGACCATGAATCCCCTGAAATGCTCCGCACCCTGCTTGTTCAGCCTCTTGCAGCCTCTTTCTTTCTCCCTGCACACTTGTTTGCTCCCTTCCTGGTCCCCATCCCTCCCTCCATTGCTAGTTACCTGGGCTGCCAGTCTCAGCTTTCTGGGGTGCAGGCCAGGAGTGCAAGCCTTGGGCTGGGCCAGCAAGTGACGGCCAGTGACTGCCGGGCAGGCTCGAAGCAGTGCTGACAGGATGCACAGCTTCTGATGTTGGCGTTGGTGTCCCGGCAGGGTGGGGTCCTGAGGAGCCCAGGTATTCCTGCTGGAGCCAGTTGCCACAGCTGCTCTGTGTGGGTCTGGGTCATCATACCACTATCTGCAGGGGTGCAGCAATGGGAACAGCCAGTGTCCTGGCAGGGCCCCTTGAGACTGGCCCCAGCTTGTGGGATCTGAAGCAGAGCAGCTGCAGAATAGACCTTTTTTTCTTTCTTTTTTCTTTTTTTTTTTTTTTGGGTCACACCTAGCAATGCACAGGGCTTACTCCTGGCTCTGCACTCAGAAATTACCCCTGTGCTGAAAATTGAACCCGGGTCGGCCGCATGCAAGGCCCTACCCGTTGTGCTATCGCCCCAGCCCCCAGAGTAGATAGATTTCTTAAGCCATGAGGGGGGAAGGACAGCATAGTCACCCCTCTGTCTGGGCACCCCCCATCAGGGTTCAGTCCAGTCAGCCCAGTTTCTGCTTCAGGTCAATTGCTTACAGTAAGACCAAGTAGCGTTTACCGGGCAGCTGTTATGTGCCAGAAGCTAGAGCCCTATTTTTAAATCTCTCTTAATATCCACACAATTCTATGAGAAAGGAACGACCATCCCCATTTTGAGAAAATTAAGGTTTAGAGACGGGGCCAGACAGAGAGTGGGTGCTTGCCTGGCCTGAGATCAACTTGGGTTTGATCCCTGGCAACTCATATAGTTCCCTGAACCCTGCCAGGAGTGGTCCCTGAACACAGCCAGGAGTAAGCCCTGAGCACTGCTGTGTGTTCCCCCCTCCCAAACCAGAGTAATTAAGAGATTAAACTCAAACCCCTGCTTTCCATATCAGTCTGGTGCTATCAGGGGTTGGAGGCTGCTGGTGACGACTGAGGGTTCCCCTCCCCCAGATATGGCCCTATCCTGGCAGCCTGGGGGCTCCCAGCAGCCTGTGGAACTGGACCTCTGGGTACAGCTGGGCAGGGACAGTAGCGGAGCCATGAGCCCAGCTCAACCGTGGCAGGGTGTGTGGGCATCTTTCCTGGAATGTTCTCCACGTCCAGTGAGAAAGCACGGGACTGGTGAGTGTGGGGTGACTGGATCTCTAGGACTGGCTGGGGCGTCCTGTGTCACCAGGGAGGGACACAGAGGAAAGGGCAGAGCAAACCAGTGGGAGGCTACTGTAGGGTGGTGGCAGGAGGGATCAGGGAGACTGCAGGAGGGCAGGAGAGCCTGTCACCTCAACCTCGCCCTCCTCCCAGAGTGCGCGATTCCTGCCCCTTCTTGGGATCTGCCCCCACGCAGCCTCCATCGTTACAGTGAGAGGGTCACCCGTGGGACCTGGCCTGCTGGGGCCGCAGCGGGAGCCCTGACACCGCGTTCGGCAAAGCGAGCCTCGCTTTTCCTGGGACCCCACCGTCTAGCTGAAGCAGCCGGCCAGCTGCCAGGGCACAGGCGCTCAGGTCACTCCTTTCCCGATGTCTGTCCAGCTCTGGAAGCCTGACAGTGGCTGCATATCTGGGGGCCGAGCCCAAGGTCTGGACACGGAGAGGGTGGCACCTCCATCAGGACAGCCTCCCCACAAACTGCCACACCCCCCCATGAGTCACAACCCCTCTCACGGCCACACCTGGTTGCCAGGGGTTCTGGGGCAGTGATGACTCTAACCAGGCAGAACTGAGAGTCACGGCTGGGGGGTGGGGGGTGTGATGACCAGCCAAGGTGTCTCCTCACGCCGCCTCTCCTGCGTGCTGGGATGCAGCCGCTGTCCTCCCCTACCGACAGCAGTACACTGCGTTTCTCTTCTTCAAAGAACATTACCACAAATACAGCAGTTTGCCACACAGATTTATTATCTCACACGTTTCTGTGAATCACAAATCCAGGATAAAATGTCTGGGTTTTCTGCAGAAGGCTTCACATAAGCAAAGCTAAGGCTCTGCGTGGTGAGCCATGGAAAAAAACCCATTTCCAAGTTCATTCAGGTTGTTGGCAGAATTCAGTGCCTTGCAGTTGTGCCATGGTGCACCCTCAGGACTCTACTTTAAAGCAGTGACACACATTGACCTTTCCTCCTTTACTAGAGTTGCTCTGACCAGCCCCACATTAGAAAATCCTGTTTTTAAAGGATACGTTGGACTCATTCAGATAACGCATGACAACCTCCCCGTTTTAAAGTCTGTTCCCCTATTCCGCAAAGTGCATTTTGCCATGTGACGCAACATATTCACAGGTTCTGGGAATTAGGGCATGTGTGACTTGAAGGCTAACTGCTTCCCTCCACCCATCCCCAGGAGGTGAGCACACAGCAAAGAGACTGTATCCATCTGCAAAGAAAGCACTGACTCACAGAGAAGGGCATGGTGGCAGTCTCAAAGGACCGGACCGGTGGTGGGAACATTTCAGGACCCAAACGAGCCTGCTTTGCCAAAGATCTAAATTTCTACTGCGCCCCAGGCAAGGTGGGAAAAGCACATCCTCGCCAGGGGTATGGCACTGAAGGACAGCTGATGACACAAAGAACAAGGGTATGGGGTGCAAGATGCGGGCATGCACCAGGCCTTGGGCATGGCAACAGTGCTACTGCTGCCACTGGGTCCTCACAGCACTTCTCTGCACAGTGGACATAGCTATCATTCCTCAGTAGATGGGGAAACTGAGGCCCAGAGAGGCAAGTCAAATGTCCAAGTTACACTGGCAATTATATCACCCCCTTAGCTGCCCATCTAGGTGAGTAAGGAGAGCTGCAAATGGCTCAGGAGGGGACGCGATCCGCATGGAAGCAGCCTGAACATCAGTAACTCTCGAGGGCAGGAAAGGTACCAGGAAGTCTCCCACAGGGCCTCGAACAGGCTCTCTGTAGGTCAGGCCAGTTTAGAGGAAGGTGGTAGCGAAGGGAAAGAGGTGAGGGTAGGGGCACAGGCGAGGAAGGCACATTTCACTGCTAGCCCACCAGGGAGCAAACGTTGTGCATTTGGATATGGTATCATATGGTATACAGAGCAAAGTGCCGAGTTGGCTTCTGGGGTGGAGTGCAGAGCTGGGGACAAGGCACAGAGCAGGGGTGGCAGAGCCCTGGCACAGGCACCCATGGGTCGGGAGAAGCCCTGCTGCAGCAAGCAGTACCTGTGGGCATAATTGGACCTTGGGACCTCCCGACCGCTCCCACACTCGGTGTGTCCTCCAGTTGTCACAGGACACTGTTCTGGCTAGTGCTGAGCACTTGAATTGGACCACACTTGTCAGAGCCCACTGACAGGACTTCCTGGGAGAGCCGAGGACTTGGCAGAGAGCAGCAGCTGGTCCAGGGGGTCATGGAGGAGGGACAGGGGGGACAAGGTTGGTCCCTTAGCCACGGGCCACTGTCCAGCACTGCGAATGCATCCCTGGTCTTCAGTACTGCCATCAAACTGAGGATCCTGTTACCTGAGGGGGTGTGTTTTGGGGGGGCACCACGAGTACCACCATTCACCTCTTCTGGAGTCTCCTGGCTCCTAGTCACCACTAGTGGGGGAAAGCCGGTCACAAAGAGCCCTGGAGAGGCCTCAGGAGACCACCTGCGCAGAGTGGGGCTCCCAGGGGGAAATGGCGTTCCTTCTTCAAAGCTGCAGAGCCGTGGGAGGAGGGGTGGACTCGGACCCTGGCGCTCTGTCGGGGTCTGCGCCCGAGTCTGGTGGGCTCTCTCGCATGCTACCAGGCACGTAAGGTCAGGACTGGAGGAGTCCCGAGGCTACAAAGCGTGGCCGCCCTCCCCTCGAGACTAGGGACACGCAAAGGCTCCAAACTTCATCTTCCAGGCCAGCGCGGCTCGGGGACGCGGGAGGCCGCGGGTCCCGTCAACCTCCGAATCCGAGCCGCCGGGCAAACCCCGGGGACTCAGGGCTCCGGCGGCGCGCAGGCGCGAGGCCCGCCGTGACGTCACCGGGGCGGGGCCTCGGCGGTTCCGGGGCGGTGCGGGCCGGCGGGCACGTAGCTCAGGGACCGGGCAGCGGCGGCGCGCGTGTGGGTCAGCTCCGGTCCTCTCCGCTCCTCCGCCGTCATGCCGATGTTCGTTGTGAACACCAACGTGCCCCGGGCCTCGGTGCCCGACGGGCTCCTCGCCGAGCTCACGCAGCAGCTGGCGCAGGCCACGGGCAAGCCGGCCCAGGTTTGCTAGGGTGGGGCAGGGAGAGGGTCTCGGGCTGGGGTGGCGGCGGCGGGGTGGGCCACCCGGCACCAGGCCCGGCCCGGGAAGGCGAAGGGTGGTGCGGGGAGGCTGGGCGGCCCCCGGAGCCCCGCGAGGACGTTGGGGTCAGCAGGCCGGTGCCGCAGCTCCCTTCGGCTCCCCCACGCAGTACATCGCGGTGCACGTGGTCCCGGACCAGCTCATGGCCTTCGGTGGCTCCAGCGAGCCGTGCGCGCTCTGCAGCTTGCACAGCATCGGCAAGATTGGGGGCTCGCAGAACCGCACCTACAGCAAGCTACTGTGCAACCTCCTGACCGAGCGCCTGCGCATCAGCCCGGATAGGTGCGTGCGGGGATCTGGGCCGCCTGCGGGGTGGGGGGTGGGGGAGGCGACCGCCGCGGGCGACAGCGCAGTTAGCTGAGCCTGACTCCCCTTCCCCCCGCAGAATCTACATCAACTACTACGACATGAACGCGGCCAATGTGGGCTGGAACGGCTCCACCTTTGCGTGAGGACCGTGCTCGCCCCTCCTGCCTGCCCCAGGCAGGCCCCACCACCCGCAGTATTGTGCCCACCCCCCAGCGACCCCACCACTCCTACCATCGGGAGAAATAAAACGGTTTGAACTTCCCACTGCCTCGGGTTTCCTTGGTTGCAGAGAAAAGGGTGCTAGAACGGAGGCTGGGAAACTCAGGCCAAGAAGAGCAGCCCCTCAGAAGCGGCTCTTGGATGCCTTTTCAACCCGCAGAAACTCCAGTCCTGGTGGTTTTACTGCCCTGGGGCTCTATACCCAGCAATTCAAATCAACCTCCCAGTCACAAAGGGGTTTGTGGCTTTGCCCTCGGCAGCCGGGAACCCCAGGAAGGGCCATCAGGTGAGGTAGGAGTGGCTGGGGAGAGAAAAGAGAGGGGTGGTGTCAAATCTGATTGGGTGGAAGGACTATCACTGGGCGTAGACCTTTGGGGAGCCAAAATCTTTACACCATTTCAGGGGTCACTTCCCGCTGGGGTTGGTGGCCCCAGTTTCTTTAAAGCTGTGGTTCTGGAACTTGGCTCTCAGGAGTGATGAGAAGAGATAAGAATTCCAACTCTATCTGTCCCTGACTCTCTCCCCTCCAGCTTCCCGTCTCAGCAGGGTTCCCTGAGAAAACACTGGCCTTCTGTGATACAGTGGCTCTGGGAGGGTCCACCTGCGCAAGGTTCGGCACTGGCCAGTAAGGCAAGGAGGAGGACAGCCGAGGTCCCCTGGTGGAGGGCTGAGGTTGCCTTGTGGCTTGGGAACTGGACAGTGGACTGCCCCTCCTGGAGGGGCTGCTGGCCCAGGCCACGTTGCCTTTGGACCAGGCTGTCTCCCTGCCAGATATACCTGCAGCAGCTCACAGAGAGGCCCAGCCACTGGCACTGAAAATACATGTGTCTAGGGCTAGTGTCAGTCATTACTGGATTTAAGAATGAAATTTTTATTAAAAACTTGATTTAATAAAAACTTAATTCTCCCTACCCCGTGGGGAGAATTCAAGTTCATTTTATCTGAGGGTACAGAATAGGCACCTTGGGCCACATAAATTCCATTTCTAGGAGCTTGGAAAAGATGGGGACTCCCCTGGAGTTTTAGGGCTCTCGGGCCTTTTGAAACCTCTTTCTCGACCTCTTGGCAGGAACTGCAATTGTAGATAGGTGTTTTTTTTTTCCAGATTCCGTGGAATTGCAGTGGTTTTGCTTTGGGCAGCTGGGGAGCACCCCCTCGGTGGAGCCTTTGGAATCCACTACTCTGAGGGTGGGTGTGATGAGGAAGACATAAACAGTGAGAAGGCGGCATGTGTTTGCTGGGGCCTGGGCGACTGCCCGTAGCCCAACCCAGGCCGCACCTACAGGCTTAACCCGAGTGAACACCCAGTAGGCTGAGACTGGAGAGTCGGGGCGCCCAGCAGGGGACAAGTCATCCTCAGATTATGGCAACTTCAGAACAATTCGAACCCCAGGCTGCTGAGAGCAGGCTGCTGGCCCTTGTCCTCATGTAGCCACGCCTTCCCTCAACATCGCTTTGGTAACTGCTTGGCACTGCCTGCCCCCTGGGCAGCCCATGCTTGCCAGCTTGCTAGTCAACTTGCCCGAGAGCTTCTCTGCTTTTCCGCGCAGTCTTGGGGCTGCTCCCCGCCCCTCCCCGCCACCCCAGCCCCAGGGCAGTCACTGCACTTGGCTCTCTCTGGCCTCCTGACAACCACCACTGTTCCTGCCGTTGGAGACAGAGGCCCAGCAGCCTCTCAGCTCACCTGGCACATCCTGTAGCTTCTGTGGGGGCCATGTCTGAGACCACCCCAGCCCCCCGCTTCTGCCCAGGCCGGTGACTGCAGGCTTCTCTTCCAGTTTCCCTATAGCCCCTGATAGTACAGGTATAGCTACCCTCTGAGAACCCCAGGGCCTCTCGGGGCTTATTCTTTCTGGAGACCCTAGCAGCGGGGGCTCTAGGGTTCCCTTCTTGAGAGGTTGCCCTCCCCATCTCGTACCTCTCTATCTCCGAGTGCACTTCCTGCTGTGCTCCTGTTCTGAGACTTGGGTCTCCCCCACCTGTGAACTGAAGGGATCCGCCAGATGGCCTTCCTACACAGCTCTTCCTCTTGAAGCCTGTCGCAGCCTTGGGCAAAACTAATGTGGACCGCAAGGGAGGCTAGGGAGCTGCCAGGTGGTCTGTGCCTGGACTCAGGTAAATCGAGAAACCCCTTTTTCAGGCAAGAGAGACAGGCGCTTGGGGCGGGGGGAGAGGGGGTGGTGGTGGAGATTTTCTAGGCCCACTGCACACAGCTGCAAGATGCTGGGAGCCTGGGAAGGAAGGACACAGAGAGAGTGCAGCTGAATTAGATCCTGTCCATCACCCCAAGGTCTGGTGGGTCAGCCTCGGGATAGCCCGTTCCAGGTGGTCTCTAAAGTAGATTCAAATAGATGGTGCCCAGCCTACCAACCAACCCCCGGTTACCTGGGAGAGGCCTGCAGATCTGGCAAGTTTTGGAGCTTCCAACTAGGGTTGGAATGTCATGATTCCTGGTTCCCTGGGGCAACTAAGTTTTGGGTCCCCAATCTGTGGCAAGTCCTGAGAAAGAAAATTTGCAAAAGTTGGGCACAAAGAAATAAAACTGGAGAAGGTTGAGGCAGTCTGAAGCAGTCTGGTCCTTTTCGGGACCCAGCCTCCTGCATGGAGAGCTGAGCTGCTTGACGAAACCAGGCAGCAGTCCACAACAACAACAACAAAAAAACAGGAGGAAGGGATAGTCTTTATAAATCCTATCTCCTTTTCCTTGCATTTTTTTTTATACAAAACTTTGTATCTGACATAGAGGTACAATCCCCTGAGGTCAAGGATGCATTTTCTATTCAGTTGGGAAGTCAGGAAACTGCCATTATGTTCACTAAAAGAAGTTCTTCCTTACTGTTTATTTTCATGTCCGTGACTTTTCAACTAAGACAAGCCAGGCCCTTGCAACAACATTTAGACTGGAACCCACCCTGGGAAGTGGGGAGCTGGGAAAGCGGCTGGGGCAGGACAGCCCAAGCCCCTTGTCCTCACCCTTAACTCTGAGATTCAGAGTTCTCCTTTCCTTCATAGAACAGTGGCTCCCTGTTTGTTTAGACTTCTGCCCTCCCGCAGCCCGGCCCCCAGCCCATCTGTGCAAAGGCAGAGCCCACTCCCAGCTTTTCTAGGCCTAACGAGACTTCCAGAGGAGCAGCAGCACAGTGCACACCTACCCGCCGCTTGCCCAGATTGCCCTGCCTGGGAGGGGAGCACACCACCTCATGAAACCCGCAGAGGATACACAAAAGGGTTCGTTTTGAGAATTGGGCTTTGTCCCCTCATCCCGGAATCTCGGCTCCCATCTAACGGAGGAGTGTAGGGCCCGGACTCATGGGTCCTGACCCCAAAACAGGCCAGCAAGGCACCAGATCCTAAAACTGCAAATGAGACACCTCAGGCTGTGTCGCCCAACCACCCGGTTTCTTGCACCTTATTTACTTAGGTCGAGAGGTGAAATTCAAAGCATTTCAAGGATCACCAGAGAGACGGTGCCTCGGTCCGCAGGATAAGCGTCTCACATCCCTCTGGAGTAAAGGTTTCTGGACAAGGAACTGTGAGGATGGAGACTTTGAGACCCTTACTAGGATCCTGCCATGTAAGGATCTCTTCAGGAATAGCCTGCAGTCTCATAAGACCAATGAAGACTGTGGTAACTGAGAGTCCTCTGGAATGAAGCATTTCTTAAGGACTATGTAGTTGAGTCCCAGAATGAGTGAAGCAGGGAACGGGCCTTGTGGTACGCTTACCAGATTTTAGGTTACGTAGCCGAAGTTTCAGACTTGAAAGTGATGAGGGACAGCCTGAGCCATCTTGAGCACCCCTGCACCGAGGAGGAGCTGCTGCCCACCCTGTGCCTGCTGGCCGGTCACAATAGCTCCACTGTTGTGACTCTGCTGCTAAGTCAGCCTTCGTGCTTTGTGACAGAAACAAATTTACCGTATGCAAAGTATTTGGCACCAAACGGAAGACTGCAATCTATGTCCCGCAGCTGCTTGCATGCATTCCGGAAGAGAGGGAACCCAACGATAGTAAGAGAGATGAAATTGCAGCCCTCGGTGGTCCACGTTCTGTGCTTCATAAGAAACCCTAACAGTCAGTATGCCAGGAGTCAGAGCTCTACTCCCAATTGTTGTTGGTTGTGCTGTGCCATGTATAGTGGGTAGTTGAGGAGAAATGCTCCCAGATAATGGTGGTGTGTATGAAGGAGAAAGGCCTGGGCCACCCATGCAAGACCTTTGATCCCTTTAGTTTTGCTATCAGATCTCTGAAGGCAGAATACAGCAGGGTGGTGGCTCCCACTGATCAAACTGCTGGGGAATTCTAGCTTCCTAGAATACACACACACACACACACACACACACACACACATATAAAATATACATTTTTTTTTTTTTACCTAGGTTTCATCGCACTAACCAGGACCATGGTTAAGAATTGTCCAATAGTTGTGTTACACAGAGGCTATAAAACTCTCGGACATGAAAACTGATTACCAGAAGCTCTATGTACAGTGCTTCTCTGGCGACTGTCAGTGGCTGAGACTCTTAATAGATTGAAGTAGCAAAGAACTTGGACTCTTTGGAATTTGTAACTTAGCTCTGCACCAAAAACTAGTGTGAACATGACCCAATGGAATGGGTGTTTCCCCTGAAGCATTTTATTAATTTCCCACGTTTCCCTTAGTAATCTAGTCGATTGCCCAGCTTTTCCTCATGCAGTAATCATCCAGTTTATAGAACTACAGACCTCTCTACACTGCATGGTCTTCCAAAGCCCCTGAGCACCAGCCTTCCCCTTCTCAGATCCCCTTTCCCATTTTTCTTACATACTACCTACTTTCTCAAATCTCTTCTCCCAAGTTTGCAAGCTCCCCAGGTGTTGAGTGATCTCTGCCAGGAGTGATCCCTGATCTCAAAGCCAGTAATAATCCCTGAGTATTGCCATGTGGCCCCAAAACAAAACCAAAAATGAGCAGTGGGATGCCAGGCCCCCTCGTGTGGAAGGAAATTGAGTGCGACTCAGAGCCTTCGAGTATATCTCCAAGACAAGACTTGACTTTCAGGTAA